ACCCCCCCCTCCCCCCCCATCCCTTCCAACACCAAAAACTCTGAATTAATCAATCCCGATCATTGGTCGCTGGTCCATTCTTCCATCTCTTAATTTTTCATCTAACAGTGTGAACTTGACGGGCCAAGAATTCAGGGACCAGAATTCATCTTGTTTGGCTTTAAAAGAAGGGCTTTGTTAGGAAGCCCTGTTTGTCTCTGAGTTTTAAAGCAAGAGAGGTTGGTGGTCTCACGTGCAATCTGTGAGAACATGATTGAGAAGCTGTGACACCCGGATCTGAAGCATGTTTTCCACTGAGTAACAACATCATGGTACTCACTACATCACTGTCACATTGTTTTTTCGTATTCTAGAAGAACTGTATTTTATTGAGCATCAGTAATAACGATAATAGTAGCTAACATTTATTGATAGGTGACTGTGTTCCAGGCACAATGCTCTCAACCCCCTAGAATGTGTGATTATTGTCCCCATCACACCAGTGAGGAAACTGAGGCTCCCCTACAGTACTGCTGTGGACTGATCGGTGTTCCCCCGCCACCAAATTCGTTTGTTCAAGCCCTAATCTCCAGGGTGATGGTGTCTGAAGACACGGCCTTTGCGGGTAAGTAGATCATGAGGGCTTAGTGCTCTTATCAGAGAGACGTAAGAGAGCTTGCTCTCTCTCCATGCACCAAGGAAAGGCCAGGCAAGCAAACAGCCTGCAGTCATGCACAAGCCAAGAAGAGAGAGTCACCGGGAACTGAATTTGCCAGCACCTTCACCTTGGATTTCCCAGCCTCCAGAACTGTGAGAAATAAATATGTATCGTTTGATGGTCTATGGTCTTGCATTATAGCAGTCTGAGCTAAGACAAGTATGGACCTTGAGGGTGGTTGTAAGGATTAGACAAATTAATATATGCACAGAGGTGTGACTTTAAGTTTATGGAGAAGCAACGTGGTTGATTCATTCATTCATTCATTCTAGACAGAGAGAAAGTTAGAGTTGGGGAGAGGGGTGGGGGGGAGAGAAAGAGAGAGAGAGAGAGAGAGAGAGAGGAAGAGAGAGAATCCCAAGCAGACTCCACGCTTAGTGTGGAGCCTGACGTGGTGCTTGATCCCATGACCCTGCGATCATGACCTGAGCTGAAATCAAGAGTCAGACGCTCAACCACCTGAGTCGCCCAGGTGCCCCAGAAGCTATGTGTTGTTTTTGAAAATTTATACCCAAGTTAGTTAGCATATAGTGCAATATGATTTCAGGAGTAGAATCCAGTGATTCATCCCCTACATATAACACGCGGTGCTCATCCCAACGAGTGTCCTCCTTAACACCCATCACCCATTTAGCCCATTCCCCCAGCCATGACCCCTCCAGCGACCCTCAGTTTGTTCTCGACATTTACGAGTCTCTTGTGTTTTGTCCCCCTCCCTGTTTTTGCTTCCCTTCCCTTACGTTCATCTGTTTTGTATCTTAAATCCCATGGACGAGTGAAGTCACAGGATAATCGTCTTTCTCTGACTAACTTCACTTAGCATAATATACTCTAGTTCTATCCATGTTGTTGTAAATGGCAAGATTTCATTCTTTTTGATAAAAGCACTGTGTTTTTAATGTCCTCTTGGGAAGGTGTTCTTCCCGAATTTCTTTTTTTCTTTTTTAAATGTTTATTTATTGATTTTGAGAGAGCATGAGCTGAGAAGGGGCAGAGAGAGAGGGAGACAGAGAATCCCAAGCAGGCTCCATCCCAGCATGAGACCATGACCTGAGCTGAAGTCAAGAGCTGGACGCTTAACCAACTAAGTCACCCAGGTGCCCCTCTTCCTAAATGTCTTAAACAATGAATGCATAGGGTAAAAAACAGATTTAGTATACTTGTTAGCTATTTGTAATAAAATGGTTTATACGCTATTGAGGAATCTCTTCCTTCCAGTATTTCATCATTTCTGCCATCACCCTCTGAAATGCTGAAGGGAACGTATTTTAACAAAAGGAAAACTGGATCCAGAGTCAGCTGATATCGGCCCCAGTGACGGCCCTCCCGGCTCATTAATGGGGCAGCTTTGGACAAACCGCCATGCTCCTTGAAGCCTGTGCTTCCTCATCTATTAAACAGACAGAGAAATAACTGCCTTGCAACATCACAGGACCGTGAAAAATCAAGTAATATCAAATTTCCAAAGCGATTTCACATGCGCAGTACAAACAGAGGGCATGAGTATGAGCCTGCTTCTTTCCTGTCACAATATTTTCCCTTTGACACAGCCAATAATTCCTCTTCTGTGTTATTTCCTTCATTCTTCCACCAGGAGAACTGAAATCCAAGTGGCCCTGTCAAATGGAGTCAGTGGGGAAGGGACGAAGGTTAAATGTTGTTTCAGTGCTTCCCCACCTGCACCCCTCACCTCACAGTCACAATCTGGCCTCCATCCAAGATAACACCATTCATTTGAGCAATAAAGATGGCGGCCACTGCTTCATAAAGGGCTGTACCGTCCATGTTGATGGTTGCTCCAACTGGGAGGACAAATCTGGTTACACGCTTATCAATCCCCAGGTTTTCTTCCAAGCAACGGAAGGTAACAGGCAAAGTTCCCGCACTGAGGAACAAAGACAGAAAGAGAGAGACAAGAGTTTATGTCCACTTTAGAGAAACAGGACAAAATTCAAACTGGAATGCCAACCACAAAGTTTTTGTTCGTTTGTTCCAATCAGGCCATGTGACATGCAGAAAGCAGTGTTTGGAGGCAAATTAAAGACCAACTGTTTGGAGGTTCAAATTCAATCTTATTAAGATGCTCATAGGCAGCAAGCTCTTTTTGTTGCTTCTGGTTTTCAAGATCTACTTAGAGTTTCACATTCTTTTTCCTTTGATCAGTGTTTCCCTCTTGGATGAAATATTAAAGGCCATCTGACTGCCCACATTAATTGAGCTGCTAAAAAAAAAAAAATGTGTCAGGAACCAATCAGCTGTCAACAGTGAAATGGAATGAGGAATTTTTGAATGACCCATAATTTCATGCTAGGAACACTGTTTCCAACAATGCATGGACTGCATCCAGCCTCTGGGAATTGCCCTGAGCTAATTTTGACAATGCTGGATAAACATGTTAAGTACCATTTAGCCTGAACCTGAGCTTCTAGCAATTCACTGGGGACCCCTATACACAATCCAACTCCCTAATACATGGTCATTGGCCAACTGTACAGTCTTTCCAACAACATAGGGCAGAAAAGCATGTGCTCTGTAGCTAATCAAAGACCCAATATGGAATGACTCCACCCCCACTCCGCCCTGGAAATTCCTGTCCGGAACTCACCACCGCATGACCCAGCCTCAAGGGCCAGAACCCCTGACATGTTCATGTGTCTTCTAAATTAGGAGACCTGTAAGGATAAGGGTTGCTGATGGCCAAAATATTATTTCCATGTGGAGGGAGGTACATGGGAGGGTAGGTGGATTTGCTTCCAAGTGTAAGTAATATGGAAAGAAATGCAGAACGCCCATACGGCCATGCGAGTTCTTTGCGGTCCTTTCTCTTTTGGGGTTTTTTTGGTTTGGGGTTTTTCTGTTTGGTTGTTTTGATTTTGTTTCTGGTTTTTTTGCTTTTTTGCTTTTTTTTTCTATTCAAAGCTTAGTAAAGTGAACTGGGGAACCTCCAATGCAGACACACTTATTTCTAGCATGCACGGACAGCCTCATAGCTTCCTCCTTCTACTGGTCAGAACCAGGGCTCCCGCCAAGTTTGACACAGACCCTTGCCAGAGGTCTCAGTTTCTCAGAGAGTAGTAGAGAGCCACCAGCTTCAGAAAAGCTAAAGAGAATGCAGATTCCAGGGCCTACTCAGAAACAGGAAGCAGAAGCTCTAAAATTAGAGTCGCCTAAATCTGCATCTTATTAAACCACTGATGAACAAGCTCCTAATAACAATCTTGGGGACGTCAGCGTCATCTTATGGCAATATTCTTTGTGATTTCAAGTCAGAGGTCTGTCTTATGCCTCCTCCTTGCTCTTAGGGAGAAGAAATGAATGTTTGGAGACCTCTCATTACTAACACCTCATAAACCCAGGGAGAAAAGTTGAGGTCATTGTATTTGGTTAGCTTCTCCAGCTATTTTAATGAGACATTAGTGTCCCTTTATTCCTCCCACCCCCAGGCCCTCCCCACCCCACCCTTTCTTAGGACCCCTTTGATGGTTTCTAGGACACCATGACTAGTCTGAAATGGCAGCTGTGGTTGGTGGCTGGGATTTTCAATGATAGGAATCTAAGCAAACTTCTGGGCGGACGAGAATATAATAATTTTTATTATGGTATTCATCTTCCCAAAATGTCATCAAGAGGTCTTTGGACAATTAAATAGATTAGGGAAAGTAATTGACAAGGTATGAAAATAGTCTCAATTTCTTTACTGAACGGGCTTTGTGTCTTAAAAGTCTATATATACCCAACCAATTCAAACTGGGACTTGGGAGTTTTAACTCTTTCCTGTCCTTCCAACATTCTGATGTGGATGTCTTCATGTGTTGCTAATAATAAGTCTTCAAATGTTGCTAATAATAACTATCAGTTACTTGACCGTCTTTTTTTTTCTAGAGTAGTTTTAATAGCATGCACTGATGTCAGGAGGATGCAGAGACATGTGTCCCAGGGCACCCCCTCTGTTAGTCCTCCCTGACATCAGCCTGTTGAGAAAAGGGGGTGACCCCTTCCCCTTCTCCATCAGTCCAAGGTCCAAGGAGGTAGAAAGAAATTTAGCTGACTGTACTGGGGTTTTGTTTTTTTTCCCTGTGGTCATAATGGCTGAGATAGTTCTTAGTATGTGATTCATGCCACAGTTTTTTCTTTAAGTGTATTTTCTTCTAAAAAATGAAATTCTGCATCCAGGAAAGAGCCACACTTTAAACAAAGATTAAAGTCACTTGAAAGACAGGGTAAGGAGAAGGGTCTAGCATCTGTGGCCTTGGCCAGATAACCCAAGCGTTTGGCTGATTTAAATATGAACTCGGGCTACCAATATGCTTTTAACATTTACTTTGTCTTGTAAAGGTACTAGGGATAACTATCTAGTCGTTCAAAGGAAAGATAATAATATTTTTAAAGATCAAAACCGCAAAGGTACTGGAAGAAAATATAAAGTAATGTTTCATAATTTTTAGTAGAGATGTTCCTGAGAAAATTGAAATTCTAAACACTAAATGAAAATAGTAGCAACTTCAACAATACACAAATTAAAAACTTCCAGGGGCAAAAAGCCCTGTAAATTTACAAAACAAATGTCAGGTAGAGAGGAACATCATTTGTGACATGTGACACTTGAGTTAATATTTTTATATGTGAAGAGAGTGAAACAGCCAATCAGGAAAGGAATAATACCCCAACAGGAAATGACCATCACAAATAATTCACAGGGTTGGGGAGGGGAGAGGAGGATGGTCCGTAAGAACACAAAGAGATGCTTGCCTTCGCTGGTAATCAAAGAAATGCAGAATCGATGAGATCATTTTTCACCAATAACATTGGAAAGTATTAAAGGGACTGATAATATCCAGTGCTCGTAAGTAGGTGGGGAAAAGCATACTCTCACACCCAGTTCATGGGGGCATAAACTGACATACTTTTCTGAGCGGCAAACTGGGGGTATGTTTTACAACAGCCGGTGTGCTTACCATTGGACTCAGAAATTCCACTTCTATAAATTTACCCTGAGGGGATCATCAGACAAGCTTGCAGGGATGTATTTATAAGGATGCCTGTTCAATAGACATGCCTTAAATGTACATCCCAAGGTGGAGACAGGGGTGTATTATAGCACCTGCAGTGTATTATTATGCCATTTGAAAATAGTAGGAAGATGTATGTTGATAGAAATTTTATAATAGGTTGATCAGTAAAAAATACAGTTTGCAATATCTATATATAGTAAAACCTGGAAAAAATATATGACTAAGATGAACTAAAAGGTTACTATCAATTATCACTGGGTAACAGAATAACTGGAGATGTTCACTTTCTCCTTCAAAACTTTACTCACTGTCTGAACTTTTTCCCAATGAGCAAACACCACTCCCATAACCAGAAAACAAATATCAAACTAAAAATGATTGGTTTTGGAAAAAAAAAAAAAAAGATTTATTTTTTTTCCAAAGAGAGGGGATCTTTGTGGATAGAGACTCTTAGCCATAGGGAGTTTATAAGACCAAGTAGGAAAAAGAAATTTCGGGATGTTTCCCTTCATCTTGGGAAACCGAATGCAGAATGTAGATCCCGAGGATTATATGTATTTTTAGCATCTTCTGAACCCCCACATTCTACAAGTACCAAAATCTCATTGATTTGCAAGATGGAAACACAATTTGGCTCCTCGGGTAGTCACCACTATTGGCCTGTCAGGTCACTTATGGAAAACCCGACTGCTTGCTCAGTAGCCTCGGAACAGCAGTCACTCTGTGTCACAGGGTGACCCTCTCACTGGCAATGCATGGTCATGGGATCAACAAGAACCGGCTGACAGGTGACTCCAGAGATCATGCTGAGCTAGGGTCTGCAGCCTGCCTGCCCCCACCCCCCTGCCCCCACCACCTGCTTCACGACCTCTGTCTCCGTTTTGTGACCCTTAGTTTTGTAAAGAAATACTAACAACTAGTGCAGTCTGAAACAATAAAACTCTTTACTCTTTGAAATTCTAAATTGGTAGGTGTTTTCTAATGTCTTTGTTCCTGTTTGTTTGTTCTTGTTAAATTCAGTCCAAGAAGACATCAAAAAATATATTTTTTTTTTCTCTGCATATCTCTGGAGTCCTCATTGGCTTTAGATGCCCTGGAACTTACTTAATGAAGAAGGAGCGGACTCTCAGTCAATGTCAAGTTGAATCAATGCCAACCTGATTTTCTCAAAATCAATGGGGCAGAAGGGTCCATTAGAGGTTCATGCAGGGGTCACAGGCTTCATTGACTTCTGGTGTGTTTTTTAAAAATCTCATCTCACATGTTTACCATGCAAAAGCTCATTTTTCCAGTTTTGAACCATAACTCCAATAGAGTGATATTTTCTGATAGCATTTTTCAAATCACAGGTGGGAGAATTTCTTAAATAGCACAATACGCTGTTACATCCTTCTGGAAAACATTTGGAACTAAACCAATGTTAGATGTGGCAACTCAGGCATGCATACTAATAGCATGTATTCATCTGGGAAGTTTAACCTGAGATCATATTTCCAGGACAGTTGCATATCAGCAAAAATGTTCATCAGAAAGTTCCTAAGTTCCTGGGAGCCAAAAATACAAAGCATTTATCTTTTCCAGGAATATTTTAATAATACATGAAACATGTTCTCATTGAACTGTGTGATGGAAGGGTTTTGAAAAGAGGAAGTGGCAGAGAGGGGAAAGGAATGAGCAGAAAGAAAGAAAGGTGATTTCTTGTATTCTCTACCTGGAGGCGGTACCCAGGGCAGTGATCCAGGCTTGGAAAATGCCAGCAAAAAAGGAGAAAGGGTTTTTCCTGGTGACTAGAAAGTAAATCAAGGGGAGAAAGATGCCCCCATGGATGATGAGGCCCACTATCACCGTGACCATGTACATCCCCAGTTGCCTAGCAACCACTTCTAAGTCCTTGATTGCAATGATCTTTCCACAAATGAGGCAGGCGATACCCAGGGGAGAGTACCTGAAAAACATAAAAGGAAAAAAAAAAAAAAAAGCATTGAAGACAGCCTTATGGGATCCAGAACCTAGATCTGGGCCCTTACATGTACTGCACTCTGAGGAAAACCCTTTGCGTTTCGGTACAAAGAGTTTTGCTGGACGAAGTCCATGAGATTCAACCGTTGCTGCATTTTACTTCAGACTAACTGTATGACCTGAAATCTGTGCCATGGATCTGGGGGGATCCCTGCTCTGATGAGAATTCCAAAGGTGAACTCTGTTGCTCAGGTGATTTTTAGGAATAACAGAATCTAGCTTTACCATCTCCCGGGTAAGCACCGAGCTTGAGAGACACACAGGCTGTGCCTTTGAGAATCTTGTTTGGTTTCCCTGATCCCCCAACTCTTTCCTTGAAAACTGGGAATCCATTTTGAGCTTCCCAGGAAGCTCATTAGAGTTTCACCAAACTATACGCCGGTGTTTGCAAATTTGCTTTGTTTCTGCCTTGGAAGATGGGAAATTCATTAAAAAATGAGAGAGAGGGGGAGGCCTGCCAAATCAAGAAAACCATCTGAGCCAGAGAGTACATTTAGAGAAATGCGGTTTTATTACTTACTTCTAAGTCTGAAAGTATTTCTTTCCATCCTTAACTCTACCAGCAATCCCGACCACCGTACATCGCGTCTCAAGCGGTACAGTAAGAGCACTACATGCATCACCTCATTTAATTCTTAACCACAACCCTGCAATCAAGGTATCATTACTCTTAGTTGGCAAACGAGGAAACTGACATTCAGAAAAGTTAAGTAACCAGCCCACGACCACAAAACCAGGAAGTAGGAGAACAATTCAGGTCCTGTGAAACTCCAAGGGTATTTTTCCCCTCACCAAGCCAAACCACTTCCCTTTAACTGGCAGTAGTAGCTCGTTGTAGCTAAGCCAACAGTTTACCATACACCGATGTATTCTCTATAACCTTATTTTATATCTCCATCTTACTATTGTTTGATAGGGAGCTTAGAAACCATTGGCTGTTGTCCTCACTCTTGAGTAAGCTCACCACGTGCTCTCTCATCTTGAGTGTATTTTTCCAATGTTGGGCAACATACTTTCTCTGTTGCCCAATCTGGTAGACCTGGAGCATAGACTTGGTCAGCCTGCGACACCTTCTGACTGAAATGAAACTGTTTGTCGGAAAGTTGATACCTTGGTAAGAATTATGAACTTATTTGAGAAAAAGACTGTGGGGGAAATGAAATCCCAGGATAAGGCCATCAACAGGGGTAAAGGAGTCAGGAAAGGAAGACAGACACCCAAGCCAGATGTGATTTTTTTTTTTTTTTTTAATTGTGCCTGAAGCAAACCCTTTCCTGGGTAAAGAAAAGATTGGAGGAGTAGATGAGAGTTATACACACATTTACATAAGACACGGAGCTTGTCCAGTCACTTACCAGCTACATGACTCTGGTTAGAGACTTATTCCCATTTTACAGGCATGCAAGTCAAGGCTTAGGCTAACTCCAGCCTCGTGGGATTGCTGCAAGGCTTACATTTTTGAAATGTAAATCCTGCACCCCTCCCTGTCAGCACCATTCATCTCCAACTGCTGACCAAGGAATCCTTTGTATGTTCTGTTTTTACACGGATTACGCACACCATGTCCTTTCCCCCACCATGCTTAATGAGTCAAGTCTGAGTTAATGCTGCTTTCTAAAACATCTCAGTCTACTGCCACCCAATGGTGGATGTTTTTATAAGCAAAATATTTTGTCAAGGGGAACCTTCTTCTGAAAGAGCTGATTTGTAACTGACGATACGATATGTAGTAAAAACATTAGAATAGCTGCTCCCTTCCTTGATGACTTTCCAGGCTGTAGCCTCCACGTGTTTCCCTGGGGTAAAGACTGATGATATTTGAGAACTGTTTCCGCAGGCATTAGGGAGCTATGCTGTTAAACCCTTGGCTTTCCCACCATTTTACACTCTCCTGGTGTGCCCATAGTCACAACATCTCCCAGATCAGCTGGGTAGTCTCAGTTGGAACAAAGCCAACTCTTTGTTCCAGGAGATTGTAAGTAACTGAGCAGAATGCACCAATAAATGGTGCCAACAAGGATTTATCTTCATAAACCAAAAGATCAATTATTTCCCAAACACCAATCACCCTTTAAAGATGTACAGAAAAACACAAATATGAGCTATTCTGGGTGCCACTCAATTTTCCTGCTTTTCTGGGACAAGCCATTTGCAGAATGGAGAGAAAGTGTTTCCAAGGCTCTTTGCCAAGCAAGACAGCTACAGAATCCCCCTGGAGAACACATTTGAGCCAGAGCCAAATGGATTAGAGAGAGGGAACAGGTTACCTCCAGAGCACTCAGCTCGCTGGGAGAGACATGAGTTTCCCACTACAAATGGAGAGCGTCATTCAAAGGCCAGAAGGTAGAGTGTTAGGTAAATAAATATGGCAAGCAGGGGCCCTAGTTAACCCAAACACCTGGGTCTCCAGAACCAGAATGAGCATCAATTAGGACAAGGAAAGAGCCTTTAGCGCTATGGTGTCCTTTAAGGCCGTTACTTCCCTGCACCTGTTTTCAAAACAAGTGGCTTAAGCTTCTACTCAGGAGCTTCTGAGTTCCTGGGTCGCCGTATAATTATCTCACTGGAAATGACACTCCGTGGAAAAGAGAGGGCAAATGACCCGGATTCAAGGTCACCACTCAAAGCTTCTGAAATGAAGCAAACAATCAAAGCCATAAACTAAAGTGCATAAAGAAGCTGAGGGCTCCAGTAAGCTTCTGAAGCCAAAGGGTGCCCAGTCATTGTTGGACCAGTTTCTAAATTAGAAGGACATCACTGCAGAGCAGGGAGACAGAATGCCTCCCACCACGCCCTTAGACTGGTTGTATCTGCAGCTCTGGGCACTGTTTTCAAAGGCACTGATTCATCTAGGACTGGCCTGTCAAGTCTTTTTCTTACTATCACATCATCCATCCTTGCCTCCGTCTGCTTTGTACCTCAGTCCTTGTCATTTTAAGGTCTTTACCAAGTTGCCTTTCCCAAGACTGGGTTCGACTCCACAAACACAAACTCATACACAGAATTTAACATGCCCAGACCTCAGTGTGCCTGTGCATTCACAGACCCCAGCTTCACACTCACCTGACCTGCCTGGTAACAACACGGATTCCCTGGGCTCACCATGTACCTATTGAGTTAGAATCTCCTGGAGCTAACCTGGGGGCATTTGTATTTTAAACAAGTTCCCCTAGGTAATTCTGACGTATTCTCGGAAACCAATGTTTCAAGGAATAAAATCTGTTCCACAACAGGATGAAATGCAGAAGTTACTTGGTTACCCTTCGGAAACCATTTGCATTAGCTCCAATTGATTCAAGACCTTTGGTCTTAACCCATTAAAGTAGTTAATTCAGGACCTTTAGTCACAGGACAGATGGTGGATCAGACAGTTAGATGGTTAGTGGAGAGACTTTCTCAGTCTTGCCATAAAGTCACTCTGGCTTTGCCCCACACCGCTATTGGTTTTCAACAGCAACACCAGTCTCCCAGTTTGGGACAGATCCCAAGACAACCAAAAAAGGGAAGAGTCTGTCAACAAAGAGCCAAACACACATTCTAAGAGTTACCTAAATGTGTTGTCTGCTCTCAGGCTCAAAAAGTAACACAAATCTCCATTTTACCCAGTCCGCTTAGAGACTGGTGTTCCGGCTATCCAAGCAGTGACTGCTGACAGTTTCTATGTGTGGACTAGAACTCTGGATGAGGATAGAGGGAAAATCAGTATGCAGAGCCTCCAGGCTTGTAGTCTCCCCTCCCCCCGCCCCCACACCTCCCCAGGGACTTCCTTTCGCAAGTAAATAGACCCCAACTTGTCAAGGTAGCCTGCGAAGCCTTATGGCATCTGTCTCCTGCCCACCTCTCCAATTTCACTGCCTTCCACGCCCCCTCACCAACCAACCACATCGCAGGTACTCCGGACCTTCGTCTGACCCTTAAAAACCTTTCACTTGCTGTTTCCTCCCACTGAAAAATTCTAATATGGGTTCTTCACAGAGCTGCCTCTTCCCATTCTTCAGATCTCCATCAAAAGCCACTTCCCCAGGCAGCCCTCCTGGACCCCCAGGATAGAGTCCAAGCCATACTTCCATCCCCCATCACTCTCTGTCCCACTCTCCTGGTTACTAACTTTGTAGCACTGACTGCTGTCTGAATTCTTATTTGCTTCCTTTTACTCTTTCTCTTTCCTTTCAGTAGAATGTAGGCCCCGTGAGGGCCAGAATATTTCTCTGTCTTCTTCACCATTACACTAGCTAAAATTGTTATTGGCATAGAAGAGGGGCTCAAAAGCATTCATGGAGTGACAGAATGGATGGATAGCTGGACGGTTGGATGGATGGATGGATGGATGGATGGATGGAAGGGATGGATGGATGGATGGATGGATGGATGGATGGATGGAAGGGATGGATGGATGGATGGATGGATGGATGGATGGATGGGATGGATGGATGGATGGAAGGATGGATGGATGGATGGATGGATGGATGGATGGAAGGGATGGATGGATGGATGGAAGGGATGGATGGATGGATGGAAGGGATGGATGGATGGATGGATGGATGGAAGGGATGGATGGATGGATGGAAGGATGGATGGATGGATGGATGGATGGATGGAAGGGATGGATGGATGGATGGAAGGGATGGATGGACAGTGGCAGTGGGTTAAAAGGGAGGGAGAATTGAAAGAGTGGACAGAGATCTCACTTCTCACTTTGTGTTTCTAGAGTGGTGAGATTATGAAAAGTTTTACTTTCTGTTTAAGGTTATCAGATTTTCAAAAAAAAGTTTTAAAGAAATTTGCAAAAAATGAGGATATTAAAATCATACTGAAATTAAGGGTTTTTCTTTTTTTGATGAATCAGAGAGCCTTTTAGGCTTCTTAAAGGATCCATGAACACACGGAAACAGAGGATACAGATTGAATTGATAATAGTAATGATAATCACAAAATAACAACAATGATAACACTGTTCATAGAAAGTGTTTAGACAGGACCCAGCATATGAGGAATGCTTTGTAACTGTTGATCACAATTTCACTCCATTCTCACGGCAACCCTAAGACACACTGATTCTATGCTCAATCCATTCAGATCATGGGGTTTAGAATGTGTCTAATTCACCTAAAGTCACACAGTTAGTACTAGGAGGATGCCGGATTCACTCCAATCTGAAGTCAGACCGAAGTTGAATTAGGCACCACTCCCACACAACTCCCACTACTTAGGCTGTGTGACACTGGGCAAGTTAACTTCTGTGCTTAGTTTTTACAACTGGAAAATGGGGCTAACAAAAGTCCCTATTTCTGCTAGGTATTATGGAGACCAATAAATGAATTAATGTATGGAAAGTAATTGGAATAGTACTAAGCATATAGCAGGAGGTTGGCAAATCTTAGCTATGATTTAATAATTATGATAATAATAATTAGCTCTCCAATAATAAATAGATACAATACAATCATTGAGGTAGTGCTGAGCATATAGCAAGAATTTAATAACTATAAGTTATAATTTAGTAATAATTGTTACTAGAATAATAGGGATCTCTGCAACGTTATATTTTGCTATTATACTGTTCTTATTACCACACAGAGAAGAACACAAAAGAAGTCTGATCATTTAAGCTTTGAGAGGGTCGGTTAAAGAGTAATTGACTGTTCTACCCCAAACCGTCTCACACACATTGTTATCAAACGCTGACGAGGCAGCTCAGGAATGAAAGAAGTGTGTAGAATCGGCATCTCCTACCATGTAACACCCTCCTGACTGTTTGCCTAGATGAGGTAACTGAACAGCTGTCAGAAGTCATTGCATAGACCTTGTTCCTGACTCACAATTGCTCGGCATCTCCTGCGTTTTGATGCTAAATCTTTAGGAGTTTTGGTTTCATTGAATAGGAAACCTTAATCCACACCCCTCTTCCCTGGGGAGAAGTGAGCACACACTTTATCCCATGATTCATCTCCCACATTTCCTCTCCTTCAAGGGCTCAGTGCAAATGATATTGCCCACATCACTGGCATCGTAGTACAGAAATCTGAACTGTAGTTTTAGAGCGAGGATGTTCATTCTGCTAAGAATTCCAGGGGACCAGTGCAGATCCTAATGTTTACTACCAAGAGGCATATTCTGCTTTATTATTTACTAAGTTCTCAGCAAGCTCAGGCAGATCTGTAAAAGAGACTCGAAACATATTTTTAGAGCATCACATTGTGGGTGACTTTAAATTTTCATACAAAAGAAGTATTCAGAAATCTAGGGTTGCCTGAGCAGTTGAAGAATCGATACAATAAAAAAAAAACAAAATCACATTATTTTACCAGCGTCCTGTCCATGTTTTCAAAGTACAATAAAGCGATGATCTGAACAAGCCAGGCCTGGTAAATATGGTTCATGAAATCATAAGGAACATCTCTTTTTCTTTTCTTGCTCATTTACTCATTTATTCATTCAATAAATACTTTTTTTTCCTTGAAGTGTATTCTTTTTTTTTAAATGTAATTTATTGTCAAGTTGGCTAACATACAGTATATACAGTGTGCTCTTGGTTTTGGGGGTAGATTCCCGTGTTAACAATGGCCAAATGATGGAAAGAGCCTAAGTGTCCATCAACTGATGAATGGATAAAGAAGATGTGGTTTATATATACAATGGAATACTACTTGGCAGTGAGAAAGAACGAAATCTGGCCTTTTGCAGCAATGTGGATGGAACCGGAGTGTGGATGGAACGCTGAGTGAGATAAGTCAGGCAGAGAAAGACACGTATCATATGTTTTCACTCATATGAGGAACATCTTCTGGATCTGAGACCCTGGGGCCTTCAGCTAGTCCACTCACTCTTGAGGTTTTAGTAAGAATTACTACCAGCACATCACAAGGTTGGGTTCTGTGGGGATAAAAAATAAGCCAGGAGCAGATTCTTGTTCTTGTAAAGGGGGAGGAGGAGCCAAGGAAAGGAAGAAGAGAAAAAGAAGGTAGAATTTTAGTGGGAGGCACCATGCAGAAATGAAGGAAGCCCAGAGGAGGAGGAGGGTTGGGGAAGGTGAGTAGGCTGAGAACAAGCAGAGACAGAGAATTGGCAATCCTGAATTCCTGTGACAGGACACAGGTGTCGTTTGGTCTCATAATGGTTTTGGTTTTTTTCTAGACAGGCATATCAGACCATCAAAGAGGTCTGGAACAAATGCACGTAAAAATCTTTCATCCGAGAGAGAGTGGACACTAGAGGTCTGAAGGTGGTACCGTTTCCTTTACAGAAGACTGGGCACTCATGCCCTCCTGGGCTGCCCTAGATTTCAGAACCGCTGACCACAAAGACACATGCAATAAAGCAGAGACAGTATTGCTTAGATAATTCAAACAAAAAAGTCACCCACTTAGGCATCAAGGATTATGAAATCAACAGGCACTCCAGCTCTTCGCCCCACTAGCTATATCATCTTAAGCAAATTAATTCACCTCAATACACCTCAGTTGCCTTTTCTGTAAAATGGGAGTCATGGTGCCATCTTTGCGGGGCTACTGGGATTACATCTGACGGGCACTAAGCACTTATCCTGGCTCTTGGCAGATACAAGGAAATCAATAGCTGGTAACTTTTATGATTATAATGATCATGACGATGTTAAGGAGTCAAGATTTGGTGACTCTGGATGTATCATATGATACAGTCTTCTCTTCCATAAAACTAGAGGGTGGAACAAGATTTCCAAGAGCACTTACAATTCTAATATTGCCTCTGTGATTTCACTGTTTGCATGGCCTGAGAACTGCCTCTTTTTCCTGCTGCACGAGTCATAAAACTACAATACATTGCTTTTGGACACCAGAATATTAGCGTAGTGGTCCTGCCACACGCCCTCAGTCATGCTGTATCATCCTTGGTATCTTGGACTTATCTTAGTGTTTCCTCACAGTGCTCAGGTTCAGGGTTACTAATCGGTTTTTCCAGCTTGTCTATCTTTTCTTGCTTTTCGTTGTTGTTTTTGTTTTCCCACAGGCAGGAATAGGCAAACTTTATGCGAAGGGCCAAATAGTAAATACTTCAGTTTTTTCAGGCTACACAATCTTAGTCTGAACTGCCCAACTCTGCCATTTGGCACAAAGCAACCCTAGACAATGTGTGAACGAATGGGCACAGCTGTGTGCCAATAGGACTTTATTTATGGGACCTGAAGGTGAATTTCATACAATTTTCATGTGTTGTGGAACACTATTACTCTTTTGATTTTTTTTTTCTGGCAACATAAAAACATAAAACCCATTCCTAACTTGTAGGCCACACTAAACGCATAGCAAGCAGATAAGATCTGGCCCAAGGATGGGCCATGGTTTTCCAACCCATTTTCCAGGGGAAGCTCCCCCCAGAAAAGATTTTCATCCTTTTCTCAAAGTTTTTTTTCCAGAGAGCCCTTTGCTTGCTCCATGCCTACTCTCTCCTGCTGGGAGGGCTCCGTTATCTTTCAAGGATCCCAAGACCTTCAGACACCCTCCCCCAACACTGAGTAAGAACAAGCCCACCTACCACATGATCATGATCACTAACTTCATTACAATCTCATTCAAAATGTTGAAGAATTCCACCATCAGCTTGGCCTGCTCTCCCATCTTCCCCATGGCGATGCCAAAAGCAATGAAAAACCCGATCAGACCTGTTGAGTGAATCATATCACGCAGAAGGACAAGTTACAAAGTGTGTGTTTCTTCTCCCTCCTTCACCATTCCCGACACAGGGAGCCACCTTCTCACCTGCCTGTTACCCCGCAAATGAGGCATTAGGGTTCACACTGAAAATACCTTCCCCTTGGATAATTATGGCATCCCTTAACATTTCCCACAAGAGCAAGTTGAACTGTCAGCGGTATTAAATACGTTCCTTGAAAAAAATGAATTCCATTTCATTCCAAACTCAAAAGCACTCTCTTCTCTCTCCTCCTCCCTTACCATGGGTAAGCAGATTCCAGAGTACACAGATTAACAAAGGAAGGCTTGTTGAGGCTTGGGGATTATCATGCAAACTTTGGAGCCCACATTAGAACTGCAGAGACCAATTAGCCAATAAAGTCTCTGCCAGGGTTATGTCTACATTGGCTTAGGGCTAGTGCAAATTCATGTGTGGCTGGTATGTTCCACTGCAGAAGAATCCTAAGTATAAAAGTATCTTTCTACTGCTACGTGCCTAATACGAGAAGGAGGAAGAATGTCGCAAAGTCAAATGGAAAGCAATGAGAAATCCAAAATAGTTGGGAAACCCCAATTGACCCAGTTAGTTTGTATTTAACCTGTGATTTATTAACTCCTCATCATTCTTTTCATGGTCAAAATGGTTAGAATGCTTCCCCCTTTTTTTTAACTGTATTTTTTATCAGTATCATAAAGGCAGAACATAGACTTTGAAATTTGCTAGCCCCTCAGTCCCCTTCTCACTTCACTTGACATGGTTTGACTTCTATCTAAATCTAGCCCCACCCCAGCCTCTAGGGTCAATCCTAAACCCAGGCTGGAAGGACGTGAGGAGCTCTGTCCCCATCAAAGGCACTAGGTCCTAGACCATCTTCAACACCCAGCCTTGAGTCTTATCTCTGTGTTGTCTTCGCCTCTTTCCCCACAGCAGAGTATGTTGGCATATGTGCTAGGAAGCTGCCATATACTTTGGTTCCTCCAAGCTTGGCCTGGCTTTTCTCCTCCCAGAAGTTTCTCTTCCCCTACCGCTCCTTCCCATCCTTTTCCTCAGAGTTTCACCCCCTGCCTAGTCTCACCCAGGCCCACCCAGGGACTGGGCCACTTTATGGCTAACAGATATCCCCATGATTGTCTGGGGGCTGTCTGGATTTCTGATTACTAGCCACTCTGTGCCCCCTTCCCACTCTGACCCATTATGGCCAATCCTGGGGCTCCAATTCTGACTACTGGCATTGACTACCAACCAATGTTGCTGTCCCTGTAGCTGCAGGCCCTTGCTTGCCCATCTGACATTTCTTCTGAACGGTAGTATGGCCAATATTCTAGGCCCTCTCTTTCCTTCCTCTTCCCTATGACTGCCGTGTCCCAGTTTGGCAGGTCTAATTTACAACCCTCCTTTTATATCGTTTCCTAATGTATCCAGTTATGCCTGGAGTCTTGAGTTACACTGGGTAAATTATATCATTATAATCTGATTCTCTTAGGGAAGAATTCTTTCTTTCTGAATCTCCGACTTCACCTTTTTCCTAGCCCCCCAGAGACACTCACCTCCCCACACTATGCACGTAACAACCCAGATTGTTCAACTATCCTTCACTGGACCCTCTCTCTCTTTAGCAAAAAGAACTCAGCACCTGCACTCAGGATTGTTAATCCCTGGGAACGAATATTTCCCCTTTTCAGTTCTTAGCTAGAAAGACTGGCAAGTGATTTACAAGTGAGTTATTGGCCATAAAGACAGAGGCTTTGTGAGAAGCAGTGACCAGGGGAGTGTGGTCTCACTCTGCAGTAACGTATGGAACCAAATTCAGACTATTCCCAAGCCTTCTCTCAAGCCCACGGAGAGGAGTCTGTTGGGTGTGCGGTGAGACATAATCTGTGAACATTCTGGCTGAGAAGACCTAGTATTACCCAGTTAATTCCATTTGGAGATTTTAAGAGAAACTCCTCAAGGTCTCAAAGTCACAAAATGCTGGCATAAAAGGGCTACCCTTGCAGGGCCAGCAGAAACTGAGCCACATCTATGACTATGAGAGAGAGACGTTGGAAGGAGCAAAATCTCCCAGGAGTTGACTTAATGGATGGGGTTAGAGTGGAGCTCAGAAGTGGTCTGGAGGTTTTGGCGGAGAGAAAGGAGTCCTTCAAGAAGTAGGAGGCCAGAGTCAGGGTTTTGTCTTCACTTACTGCAATGTTCAATCATTGGGACTTTCCAAAGCCAAAAAAAAAAAAAAAAAAAAAAAAAAAAAAAAAAAAGCCACCTTCTCCACCCTCAGAAGACCAAGGGAAGAATCTTGTTTTAGCCATGATTTGTAAATGAGAAGTTTCCCAACGGTCTAACTTCCCTTGGCTTTCCAGGGCCTCACTCTGCACTTGGACACTCACGTCCAGCTTCCATGTCATTTTCTTCTGTCAACACAGCTTCACTGAACTCACTTACTGGAACTGGGGCGTTTCACTTGAACAAAGCCCTTTTAGACTTGGTCACTGGGGCTGAGAGAGTAGTGAGTTGTGTTGAAACTCCCTAGGGCAGCTCAAGGTCAACGTGACTTCCCAGAATCCACTGAGAATCTGGAAACGACCGTGTAAGTCTTCTGAATGATTCACCCCAAAGCTCGGCCTCATTACTCATGGCCTTAACCTCCTGCAGAGTACGTAGAAGACTGTGGGACCACGTTGACTATGGGGTTTGGGGGAACAGAGCAGGGCTGGGAAGGTCCTGAAAGGCTCACAGACATCTGGGCAGTGGAGGAGAAGGGTTGGATCAGGGGTGGAGGCTGAAGGTATTTGCAGGCTCTCCTCAGAGGAACTCACCCACTTTCTCCTCTCTCTTTCCTCCTGTCACCTCTCACTGATGGTCAACAACGTTTACGGATCTTCCATTGCCTGCCAACCTATTCAGTGTATCTCCTCTCACACTCTCATTGACTCAACCTGTTTCCTTCGAGAACAAACCGAGATAATCCCTCACTGAAGCTTCTGCTTTTCAGTGCCTGGGCAATCCTTCTCTCCTACATCTTTCTCTCAACCATTCTGGGTCAGTTACTCATAAAATTATCAAATTTAGAATAAACAAACAAAACAGACAACCAGGATATCCAGTCAAAATGTGAATTGCAGATAAACAATGAATATATTTTATTTTGGTATAAGTATGTCTCGTGCAGTATTTGGGACATACTCTACACTAACAAATCATTTGTTGTTCATCTGAAATTCACACTTAACTCGGCATCCAATACTTTACCTACAACCCTCCTAAGGAGACAAGGGTATTTGATCTCCTAGATGGCAAAGCGGAAGGACCACGGAGCTGATCCATTTCTAACCAGCTGTCTCTCAAACCCTTAGAAATCTTGCTTGCACAGATTAACGTACTTTTTCCACCCAGCTTCCCCATCTGTTCCAGCTTACGGCCAAATGTCCCTCTTTCTTGTTTATGGGACACCACTCTAACAGTGGGTGGGGGTTATGGTGGGGAGTGGTCCCAGGGGGTGGGTAGGGGGTAAACTGAGCAAAGGGGAGTCACTCCCATGATGGGGAATCTTCATCCTCTGTGGGGGCGTTTTCTTATGGTGCCCCTCAGCTCTCCATTCACCTTGGATAATGACAGTAGCTCAGAAGAGAGCACACACTATATACTACTGTGCTCCACATGCACAATCTCATTTAATGCTCATAATGATCTGCAAGAGAAACGCAATCTCGTCCTGTTACAAATGAATCTCGAGAAGTGAAGCAACTTGGCCATGGGCAGGTCACCAGTGAGTGGTCCATAAGGGATCTGAACCCAGCCTGTCTACCTGCAGAGCCGAAGAACCAAGTAATGGCGTGCTATGAAGGCTCCAGGCTAGGGGAAAGGGCTCACTGGAATCCCAGAGAGTTAAACAAGATAATCTTTTGATAAGCTCCTCTGAGCACCAACACCAACACTTCACACTCCTGATAGCACTGTGTTGTTTTAAAGGCTGTGAAAGCTGGGGTGGGCTATCCCTGTGCCTAGTGTAGCACTAGCATGCAGGGCAGTTCAAAAAAAAAAAAAAATGCTGAAAAAAATGGAAGAATTGGATGTGTAACTTCCTGCAATGGACAGTCAGAGAAAGTTACTTGCCAACATCACGTTAGTCCCCTCTCTCTTCCCATAACTGACCTCTAGCTGCCATGTCCCCTCGCGGTCCTGCTTGCCTCTCTCCCTCTTCCTTAATCTTTCAATGAGGGATGCCGAGGCACTGAGATGCAGGAAAGGTTGGCCATCGTCTCCCCCCAGAGGTGAACACCACGATGCCTACCTAAGACATTCATGCCATCCTTGAACTCCAGGCCCTTCTTGATAACCACCTTCGCTTCCTCAGGCGCCTCTGTCACAGTCTCGTTCAATAATGAGATGACAGCATTGGTGGCATTGCCTTCCTCATCTGATGGAGGTGCCACCAGGACTTTCTTGGTCACCGTTTGAATCTAATGGAGTGGGAGGAGGAGGGAGGAATATAAAGATAAGGCATTTGACCACCAAAAGCCTAGGCACTTAGACGTTTTTAAAATCCCTAGGATGTTAAAAAACTAATTAAGAAATATCAAAACAAGGTTATGAAAGTTGGGGAATAGTTCAATGTTCGTGTTTAACAAAGTGATATTTTATTATACACATACAGTAGGAAACGACTGTCCTCATCACTTGATAATTATAGGACTGACAGCACTCATTTGTAATGTAGTGTGATCCAGTAATGGGACACAAGCTTCGAGCTGGGGGACAGTCCCATGATTGTAGCCCTTGATTGCAGCCTCTTTCAGTCCCATGATTGTAGCCCTTGATTGCAGCCTCTTTCAGTCCCATGATTGTAGCCCTTGATTGCAGCCTCTTTCAGTCCCATGATTGTAGCCCTGCATCTCAGAGACAACATCCAGCATCGATCACCGAAGCTCTTCATAATTGTGAACCCCAGTTGGATGGCCCTTCTTGCCTCTTGGGAGGGGCCCTGGATCTGGCCAAGAGTCGGAAAGTGAGTGTCTTCGCAGGGAACAGGTCCACCTGTTTTGTTCCTTCCTGCCTGGGACCTGTCTGGCGGTCTTCACAGACGAAGCCTCATTCGGGCTCCTTCCAGAGTCGTGGTCTGCTGGGCAGCTCCATCTGGGCACCAGATGCTGGGTACTCGCAGCTGCCAGCAGCTGCCATGACAGGATTGTTGGCTTATATTTCAGACCAAAAATGTAAGATGGGAAGACACCCACTCCTTCTGGGCAGTGATGCCAAGCTTTGCTCAATGTTTGCCAGGCATCTCTGTGCAAGTGGCCCCCGGAGAACCTCTCATGCTATTCCTCGACATCTGTGGCATCCATTCTAATTTTAAAGGTGCCAGGCACCCTGCATGCAGAGTGCTGTAAAACACACTTCCGAGCCCCGAGAAACAATACCTCCAAGGGCATTAAAATAGAACTCCTGCAGAATCCTAGAATGTCAGTGCTGGTACGTAGCAGGCAACAGATGGCTAAACCCTGAATAGCTATGGGAGAGGAGGCACGGAGAACTCAGATGACCTGTCAGATGGCACAGAGTTCTTGGCAGAGCTGGGACTTGAACTCCGAGGGCCACCACCGCGTTCTTCCACTCCCTGTGCTACTGACACCCAATCCTACGGCAGCTATAGGCCTAAAAGTGAGCTGACCAGCTCTCCGAAGTGGGAGAGAAGCACGATGTGGCTCTGTTCTAGCCTGGCCACGTGTGCTTGTGCAGCGAGGAAGGAAGCTCAGGCTGAGCGTGCAAGGGGAGGACAGGCAGCTCCTGGGCTCCTGGGTCTGGGCAACGTTGGCAAGAAGAAAGAATGCAGGCATGATCAGAAGAGTCACGCTCCCAGGAAAAATGGGAGGGCCAGAGGCCAACATTCTCTGTCCTGAGAATGCCATAGAAGCCAAGTCTTGAGTTCAAAGGACTAACGGCCATGGTCGTAAACAAGTGGTGGCTCTCAGGAACAGGTGGCAGCAGGTGTGGCATGTTTGACACATATTATCTCTTATGTCAACAGTAGCCCCTCAAGGCTCAGGGGGCTCGCTAACTGCAGGGCAGAAAGCTAGCCAGTTGCTGAAGCAGGATTCAAAATGAGTTACGTTTGACTCCCAAATCAGCTTCCAAACAGCACGGGCCAGTGGCTCAGGTTGAAGGCGAGGAGATAGGGATACTGGAACACAGGCCTGGTCTCTGCCTCAGTTCACGAGCCGAGCCTGTCTGGGTTGGACAACCCCATCTGGATGCCAACTCCAGTCTACCCGAGTCCAAGCCACCAGGGTCTGTCACCTTAAAACAGGTTGGTTCTGGACTGTGTCCCCCAACGCCCGAACATAAGTAAGTTCCATTGGGCGGGGACCCTGGCTGTCTCCTTGCCTGTGGCATCTTGTGCACAGTGGAGAGCCAGCACCCAGGACGTGCTCTCAAATATCAGATGGATGAGCAAACACACATCACTGGATTCCCCGCAAGAGAAGACCCATGCGGTCCCTGTGGCTAGCCTTGACCGAATGTGGTCAGACCGCACCTGACATCCCGCTGCTGTCCTGGACAGCTCATGCCGGTTCAGCCCTAAGCAGCAAGCAGGAGGCCCCGCTGCCCTCCAAGACACAGGGCCTGCCACCTTGAGCAAGGCAGCCTCTGCTCCGGGGACAGTGCGCCTGCCTCTTTCCATCTCTGTGTCTAACTGTGGCAGTGAAGCCCTCCACACCCAAGGCAAGCTTTTTGTAGTCACTTCCAGCTGTATCCCAAGGGCACAGAAAGCACTTGCCTGGCATCCCTTCTCTCTCGTAATGGGATGTCACCCTACAACGGTTCCCTTTCGCTGAACCCTCTTCAAGGGCCCCCTGGGCCCATGGATTCCTTCTAGTTTAAGACCCCCTTCTTCTGGGCTGCCTGAGATGTACATGCTCCCTTGCCCTGAGGTAAATAAAAGAGTCTACACATTTTTTCCTCTGATTGTCCCAACTCAAAGGGGCAGTGACCCTGGACTGAGCTGGGGGGTGGGGGGGGGGGGCGGCTAAGGGCTCATTCCTCATACGAATATTGCCAGTGGAAGGGTGGGTCCAGGGCAGGGACGGGGCAGGGAGTGGCTCAGCCCTCTATTCTAGTGTGCACAGTAGCCCTGCCGTGGGCAGCTTCATACGGAGATCACCCACTGACCGGACAGGTCACCGAGTGAGCGTGGCTAACACCACTAAAGCTCACCCAAGATCAGAGCAACGGCTCCTGGTGCCTGTCTGCCTCAGTCCTGCTTTGCTATGACGAAGGGGTCGCCTCTCATGGAGCATGGTCACGACGGGGCCCAGGAAGGAGGCCCCAGTCCGTGCCTCCGTCGTGCCTCTCGTGCTACCCCCGCCCCCCCGGTCCCAGAGTGCTTTCATCTAAGCAGGTTCCCTCTAGAGAGGGAGCGCCAGGAAGCACCCCTCCCTTCCCTTCCCACCCTACCTCCCCAGCTGAAATGGCTTCTTTTATTTTTTTATTATGTGTTAATGGAGGCTTTTTGATTTGTCCTTTGTGGTTGTTCTCGAATTTTATTTCATTTTTCCTTTTGATCGAAGTAGAGTGGACACACGATGTATTTCGTTAGCTTCAGCTGTACCACACAGTGATTTGACAAGTCTACACATCACGCCTTGCTCACCACAAGTGTAGTTACCGTCTGTCCCCTCACAACACCGTTACAGTATCATTGGCTACAGTCCCTGTGCTGTGCCTTTCACCCCCACGACTTCTTCCTTCTATAACAGGAAGCCTATGCCTCCCCCTCTCCTTCACCCACTTTGCCCATCCCCCACTTCCTTCCCTCTGACAACCATCGGTTTATTCTCCTTAAGTAGAAGGCTGTTGCTGCTTTTTACATGTTTGTTTATTCATTTGTCTTGGCTTTTGTTGTTGTTGTTTTTTTTTTTAGTTTGTACGTATAAGTGAAATCACGTGGTATTTGTCTTTCTCTGACTTATTTCACTTAGCACCATGCCCTCCGGGTCCATCCACGTTGTCGCAAATGGCAAAAATCTCATTCTTTTTCACGGCTGAGTACTATTCCATCGTGTATATGTATATACGCCACATCTCCTTTATCCATGAGATGGTTTCCTTTCATGTAGCCCTCTGCCGTAAGTGCCACCAACGCAGCACTGGAAATCAGAGAACACGTCTTAACCCAGAGTAAGCGAGGCCCAGCCGGGGTTGACAATAGGATTTGGGGGACAGCTGGGAAAGCAAACTTTTCCCCTAGGCAGCCTGTCTCCGAAGTTCATTCTTCTGTGGTTCCCTGGAAATGGCTGGAGGAGATTCCCGGGTTCTGGTTGAACCTTGGTGCTAGCTCTCCCTCCATGGGCTAATGGGAACTGATGCGAATTCTCACCTAACCTGACCTTGGGGGCTAGACAACAGGCTGGGGAGCGAGGCCTCAGTCTCTCTCTCTCTCTCTCTCTCAGTGGTTCCACCGAGCAGAATCATCCATTTTCTTAAATTAGAAGCTTTAAAAAACTCGATCTGCCCGTATGCAGTCGGCAGGAGCATACATCACTACAAACCTTTGTAGAGCCGTTTTGCAACATCCAGCAAATTTGAAATCTAGAACTCCTGGGCAGGACATGAGCCCCCAAGAATTTATTTTTCAGAAATAACTACACAATCGTGAGGAGAGAGAGAGAGATGATGGTAAGGCACTGTTAAATAAAAGAGTATGGCACAGCACAGTATATACAATGCAGTTACCACTCGGGTTGAATTTTTTTCTAAAGATTATGCACACAGGCAAAATCTATATATGGAAGGAAACAAAATTCCCAGCATGAGTAGTTCTAGGGAAGGGAAGTACATCTACACCGTTTAAACTTTTTTCAGCCCTCATGTGTTACTTCCACAATTTGAAAACACCCAATCCCCGGGCCTATACTAGAGATTCTGACTCTGTAAGGCATGTGTCTTTTTTAAATGCATCACATGCGGTGTTGCTATCCTACCAACACAGAGACCCACTGGGCACTCTAGAGGGTTGAAGGCAAGGGTGCTTTTCAAACGTGTGCCCTTGGACAGCCCATCCATGGAAACCAAAAAACAAGGGAAAAAGTAACGGGATGGGGGAAAAAAGGAAGAAGGGGAATCCCAGAGCAAAGAGATGTGAAGTGAGCTGGAAAAAAAGGAAGGTTAATAAAAGAAAGCAAAATACAACTTTAATCCCAAAATCCTGCTCCAAATCACCTCCTACAATCCCTAGACAGAGGAAATTAAATATAGGAAAATTGTTCCCCAGGGCTGGTTCACTGAAACACTCCCTAAGTTATTATCTTGATAACTGAAGGAGGCTAGAGAGGCAAGAACATCAGAACTTTGGGTTACCTGCTGAAAACAGGCTTGGACAAGGTTTTCAGGGAAGAGATTTCGGATGAGGTCCAGGAAGGCATCCAGGCTGGACACTTCATCATTTTTCTTCCCGGGTCCCAGCTGCTTCTTGAGTTTGGGGTTCCCTGGGTGGATGGCCAAGACCAAGATGACCCCCAGCACTGCGGCAATGACGGTTGTGGACATGTAATACACCATGGCTCTCGTGCCCAAGCGTCCACTGGCTTTAGCATCCAGGCCCGACAAACCTGGATTGAAATGATATGGGAAGGATTAATCCTACGATGCCCATCTCTGCATACCTAGAACGTGGCTTCATATTACTCAAATGCATGAATGGTTAATTAAACCTCCTCCTACTGAACGTTTGGTCCTACAAATCCTATAGTTTACAGTTCTTTTGTCTATTATTATTTTATTTTAGAGAGAGAGAGCACGCGCGTGCACACGAGAAGAGGAGAGGGGCAGAGGAAGGAAGAGAGAATCCTAAGCAGGCTCCATGCTCAGCACGGAGCCTGACACGGGGCTTGATCCCATGACCCTGGGATCATGACCCAAGCCGAATCAAGAGTCCAACGCTCAACTGACTGAGCCACCTAGGTGCCCCCTACAGTTTACCGTTCTGTTCTCCCAGGACATTTTTGAGATTCTAGAGAACCAGAGTTGAAGATTTCTGGTTCGGAGGTTATAAAATGATCAATGACTACTTTCTGTCAGTCTGCAATAGTGAGTTCAAGTTGAATGTATTCCATTTTTTAATTCTGAGAGCATGTCCTCCCCACTTATTTGGTATTAAGATATCCTTTCTTTATGAGGTGATGGTGCTAGAACTTTTTCTTTTAATGTCCTCACTTAAAAGACAAAAACAAAAAGAAAACAAAAACAAAACAAAAAATCTGGCAGTCCTGGTGATTGATATCAAGCATCTAGCATAGCGATCTAGCACAGCCCTCACTCCTCTAAGGCGAAGCATGACGGAGACCCACATTTTCCAACCCAGTGCAGGGATTAGAGAACACAAAGGTGGGTGCTCTGTCTACACTGTGGGAGGTTCTGTGATTGTTAGAGGAAATTCCAAGCAAGTCACAAAAACTCCTGCCTTCACTAGGTTTTTTCCCAGTTGTATGTTCAATTTTTCTACTTCCTGGTTTCAGTTTCTGCTTTTACTAGACAGATTGTAGCCCTTGCTGTGCGGGAGGAAGTCACTGGTGCAAAGTTTTCTGAATTAAGCTGACTTATCTACAAGCCACTTCTCCTTACAACCTAAAGTCGGATTCTGGCCAACAGACACTAAGTTTCCTTGCCAGGTTGACCAGTATATGGTCTGTTAAACAGCCATGGAGAATACTTTCTCTGGTTTGAAAAGGAGCCTTTAAGGTTAAAGCACAGTTTCACTCAGTCTGGGGCTGATTGATGAGACCCTGCATTCACTGGGCTCGCTGGTTGACCCGAGATGAGACTATAGAACAACGTGGCTTAGCGTCTGAATCTCTTGACGTTTCGAGAGCCTCACTTCCTTCATAAGGTGGACAGCTTTCTCAAGGTCACCTAGATGGCACCAAGTATCAATCAAAGCCTAGCTTTCAGCCTTAAATCAGAGCCCAGTCTTTAAACTACATCAGTTTAATGGGGCGCCTGGCTGGCTCAGTCGGTTAAGCATCCAACTTTGACTCAGGTCGTGATCCCGCGGTTTGTGAGTTCAAGCCCCGTGTCAGGGCCTGTGCTGACAGCTTAGAGTGTGCAGCCTGCTTTGGATTCTGTGTCTCCCTCTCTCAGCCTCTTGCCTGCTCTCTCTCTCTCTCTCTCTCTCTCTCAAAAAGTAAATAAATATTTAAAAAATTAAAAAAAAAATAAACTACATCAATTTGTACCCTATTTGAGCAGTGTTATTTAGTAAAGAGAAAACTACCAGCATAAGCCCAGAGAGGTGAAAACATTCTTTGCAATAAAAGACTTCTTTCAGCCCCAAAGAGTTGAACCTGATTTACACTTTAAGGGTAACTTTCTTCTTAAAAACTTGAAGGGTTTCACATCTAGTATTTAATTTATTTTTAATACCCACTTCCTTCTACACCCAGTTAAATAGTAAAGAGAAAATGTCCTTTTCTATTTATTACTTTTATCAGAATCTGAGCGAAATATAATTTGGAAAATGAGAAAAGTATACATTCAAAATTGAAATCACTGTAGTTATTAACCCTTTCAACATGTGGCAGTTTCCTTTTCATGTTTTATTGCTAGACAGAAGGACTGACCAACAGATGAGAAATTCGTTTTGGGTTGATAGTCCCCATTTTAGAGACAGGAAAACCAAGGCTCTGAAATAAAATGACACAGACAATCACATTCATTCATTCATTCATTCATTCAATCAAATTGAGATTTGATGGTCACTCCACAAACCAGATGGGAGTACAATCCCCTGTGGCCTTACCTGTGATTAAGCTGGAGATGATGAGAGGCAGAATAAGCATTTTTAGCATCCTCATGAGTATATCCCCTGGGAAGGCTATTAACATAACCACGTCAGGGTGGAGAGGAGATGCCAAGCGGAGAAGCCCTCCACATACTGCCCCCAGGATGACACCTATAAGGGAGAGGGGAAGATATCTGAATTTATTTTGGGCCCAATAAAGTGACTAACTGTAGGGATTCTGCAACGTTGACCTTTTTCATACTTCTCCATTATCGGATAATGAATAGCACGTAACGAAAATACCATTAGATCGTAAAGTCGACGTTGACGACTAGTGATAGAATACTGTGTACCTCCAACTATTCTAAAAGGCAGTACTGACAGGGTCAAGGAGAGCCCTCTCAAGGCTTTGTGAGAAGGAGGATAAGGTAACTTGACTAACTTCTTTGAAGATACTGTCCACTGGTAGAGTCAGAAATATAGTCAGAAATAATCCATAGAGGGGCGCCTGGGTGGCGCAGTCGGTTAAGCGTCTGACTTCAGCCAGGTCACGATCTCGTGGTCCGTGAGTTCAAGCCCCGCGTCGGGCTCTGGGCTGATGGCTCAGAGCCTGGAGCCTGTTTCCGATTCTGTGTCTCCCTCTCTCTCTGCCCCTCCCCCGTTCATGCTCTGTCTCTCTCTGTCCCAAAAATAAATAAACGTTGAAAAAAAAAAAAAATTAAAAAAAAAAAAAAAAAAAAAAAAAAAAGAAATAATCCATAGTGCCAGATACTGCTTCCCAGGCCCTCCAAGCCTAGGCCTGGCCATTGGTATGGTGTTTAACATATTCCTTCCCTTTCTGACTGGATACCAGATAAAAGGAACATTTGATTTACCAAGCCGGTGTGAGTTTTCTTTTTCCTTCTATTTTCTTTGGCTCCCAACAATTTCCCCATGGCTCATTCTCAAGAAGTTTTGTCCTTGACTTCTATGTTCTCTTACATAATCTTTAAACTTGCTGATTTTATGGCAGATTGCGGGGAGGGGGGGTCTCTAAAAGTGTATAATTTGGGAAGAAACAATTTAGGCAGAGTTGCTGGCAGGAGCCTTTCACTTTGCATACTTGGGGATTCCACGAGACAAACTTTGGATCTCTGCAGACAGGAGGCCGACATAAAAGATCCTTGTAGAAACCACAAATCAGGTCATAGCGCCACTGGCTAGGAGGGAGGGAGGAAGTTCCTACATCCGTGGGCTATGATGTTAACTCCAGGGATGGGAGGGGAGTGATGCGTCCAAAAGCCTGATGGTTTTTACTTCTACAGGTAAAAAATATACTTCTTTAGAATCTACGATGAGTGAAATTTCTTCACGTGGAAGGTAACCTTTGGAAACCCTACCACACCTCTGTCTTCTTTCATTAAGGAAACGGAGCTGTGGCAAGCCCCCAGTCCAGACCCTGGTCCGCTGACATCCAAGATGACTGACTCAAAGGAGAAGTCATGGAACGGAGTGGGGAAAGGGCAAGGCGTGATGAGTTGTTCATTGCTTCTGTATGCAGCCTAAGTGAGAGCTGAAGAACAAGGAGGGATCGAGAGAGGAAATGATGTGGTTGTCACTACAAAATACTGCAATCTCCCCATTTTCAGTAAACCCTGGTTGAAAACCCAAGACCAAGGTGTGTCAACAGTCACACCAAAGGACAACCACAGCCTGGGCGAGGTCTGAAGCAGAGGAATCAGACTCTTGTGAAGGAGCCAGACCAGATCCAGGCTTCTGGACAAACCTCTTCTACCCTGACCTCATTAGCTAATGTACTAATTTAATCTAAGTTAATGAGGGTGTTCGTAGGTGAGACGTTGGGAGCCCTCTTCGTGGGGTTTTCAGCAACTGCTGCCTTTATCTCCATGCAGGTATTTCTCTAAGTGTGGTATGCTGACCATCTGTCTTGGAACCACCTAGAAGATTTGTTAAGATGGAGATTCGAAGGCCTCACTGCAGATGGGCCAAAGTCTCCGTGTGTAGGGCCGGGGAATCCGTGTGTTCACACACTCACAAGAGGTGGTGAGGACCCCTAGAATCCCAAAGGAGAAAACAGATAGCTAGGGCAGGTGGATGGGAGACTGTATCGTCAAGGCAGCTGTGCCTGGGCAAAGGAGGCCTTAGGCTCCTTTACAGGGGGAGGGGCTTCTTTTACAGGGGGAGGGCGGCCTGTGGGAGCCAGCTTCCCCACAGAGCCCGGAGACAGCCAGAGAAGACAGGCAGGCCCTGTCACCTACCAAACACGGTCAGTGTGAGCAGGAGATTCTTCCCCAGCTTGTCACACAGGCGCAGGCCCAGAGGCCGGTGCTTCGGCTCCTCCGAGCTGAGATGGCTGTCGTGCATCCGTACTTCGACCTGCTTGGGCATGTTGTTGGCACTGCAAGAAGAGGAAAGGTCGTGGTGAGGGCCTGCTGGGTGCCCCCCTTGTGCAGTCTGCGGGGCTCAGGTAATAGCAGGTCAAACAGGCCTCCCGCCAGGCACGGTGGGGGTATCTAGAACCCTTGGCAGGAAAATAAAAACCAGAGCAACTCAGGGGACTCTGAATTGCAGTTACCTGTAGGCAGGACGCCAGGACACATGGAACATCTACGCGCCAGGCACTTTTATTCCTAGCATCTTGGATCATCATAGTAAAGAAAAGGCATACCACAGGCGGGGTGAGGTTCTTCCAAGAGTTGCCCACCATGGCAACTCTGAGAGGCAAGTATTTCGGCTCTGTTTTCCAGAGAGTAACTTGCTCAGGGTCACAAGGCCAGAAGAAATGGAGATACAGGGGCACCTGGGTGGCTCAGTCCATTAAGCGTCTCACTTTGGCTCAGGTCATGATCTCACAGCTCGTGGGTTCTAGCCCTGCATCAGGCTCTGTGCTGACAGCTCAGAGCCTGCAGCCTGTTTGGGATTCTGTGTCTCCCTCTCTCCCTGCCCCTCCCCGACTCGTGCTCTGTCTGTCTCTCTCTCTCTTTCAAAACTAAACATTATAACATTTTTAAAAAAAAATAAAAGAAATGGAGATATCAACCCAGCTATATCTGCCTCCAAAACCTGAGCTCTTTCATTCTTGTATCAATAGCCCAAAGTGACCTTTGGATTATCTCAGGTCAGAAGAGTCATGACCTAAGTCACGCTAAATTCAAATGCCTCTGAGCTCAAGCCTTCCCCATCCTGGTCATGGAAAAGTCATAAATGTGGACGGTCCAAGTTTTGCCTCTCTTTTGGAAAGCATGGTCTATCTAGTTTTTTAAAAATTCAATCAGCTGTGGTTTTTAAAAGGTCGTCTGCATTATCAGGGCTTTGCTAAGCTGCCCAAGAGTCATGCTACCCAGCGTCAAAGAAGTGTGGCTTTAAGAAGCACGTGACCCCTTCAGCCCTCAGTGCAGCCCAGCCCTTTCCCAGATAAGCCCCATGCTGTGATGAGAGTCTTACAGGGGTGGTTGCGGGTAATGAGTACAGTGCCTTTTTCCAGCTTGGTCATTGGCAGGCCAGTAAGATTTCAAATTTAGGCTTGGAGATTCACATCGGGAGGCCAATTTTTTTTACTTCGCCAGCTTAAGACCCTTTTGTTAGTTGCCATTTACAATCGCCATCGTGTGATTTAAAAAATCCTTTAAAGATTCTGTGTCTCCCTCTCTCTCTGACCTTCCCCCATTCATGCTCTGTCTCTCTCTGTCTCAAAAATGAATAAACGTTAAAAAAAAAAAATTAAAAAAAAAAAATCCTTTAAGTCTTTAACACCGAGAAAGACAGGTCACGGTCTCTGAATAAATGGCAATGCCTTCTAAGATGGGAGGGAGCTAGCCTTACCCAGATATTGTCTCCAGAGATTGGGAAAGCCTTCCTTTGGAACCAGTATCAATCGGCGGACCAGGGGTTTGGAATCACTGGTTATAATGGAAAGCATGTGGGCTTTGGAGACAGGGAACCTGGGCTTTAAATCATGCCTCCATCACTTGCTAACTGTGTGGTGTGTCGAAAGAAGGCCTTGGGGCACCTGGGTGGCTCAGTCAGTTAAGCGTCCGACTTCGGCTCAGGTCATGATCTCGCGGCTTGTGGGTTTGAGCCCCGCCTCGGGCTCTGTGCTGACAGCTCAGAGCCTGGAGCCTCTTCAGATTCTGTGTCTTTCTCTCTCTCTCTGCCCCTCCCCCACTCACACTCTGTCTCTCTCTCTCTCTCTCTCTCTCTCTCTCAAAAATAAATAAACATTAAAAAAAAAAAAGAAAGAAAGAAGGCCTCGATGCCTACCTTGCGGACATTAAACATGGTAAGATAGGTTAGGGGCCTCGCGTGACACCTGGCATAGGTTGTGACTTTCTCCAGGCAGCACGGGCACACACCGTATTCATCAAGTTCATTACAAGGGTGACGTTTGCTCCACCATTCCAACAAGACACCAAGCTTAGCTTCCAGAGTCTCAGATTTAAGACCAGGGGCCCAAATACAACTACGTCCTCTTTCCTAACAGGCTCCTTAATATACTCGCTACCAAAATGTTTTGAAATTAGGAATGATGTCTCATGATCTGGTTAGACTACCCAAACGAAAATATTAGTCAAAATATCAGCATCTCGGTCTCCCCTTCGTGGCCTAATTATCTACTCAATCTAGTTAGTTTTGGGGCAGCCTCTGACTAGCTGTCATGTGTGTGCTAATGATCACTCAGACTGTCTGAAAAAGAAAGTAGGGCATGACTGCTCGCAGCAAGCACATGAGGGCCAATCTGGTCAGCAAGCAAGAAACACCACTTCCTCTAATCTCCACGGGAAACAGACAGAAAGGCTCTTTTTACAACACAGCAGGGGAAAATGATCAAAACGATCTTTTTTAACATGGGTAGACCATATGTCTCCATTGGGATCTTTTGATATTTTTAAGCATTTCTCCAGCCAGTAAGTAATCTAAAGCTCCAAACCAGGAAGCGGCCAACAAAGAACGGAGGCCGTGTGTGTTCTGAAATGGCAAGTGCATCCGTCAGCCAGCCTTTGGCATCACTCTAGGTCCCCTTGAGATTGTAAACCCCTCTGCCTCCTGCTTCATTTGAATCCCTTTTGCCACTGAAGTTAGACTCAGGCACACGATTGGTATTTAAGTGAGACTAGCAAGCATTTCGACCAAATGCTCTGGCAAGATCCAAAGGATATAATGAAAGTGTCAGGCACCAAAACAGCCACGTCAAAGTGAAGACACGCCAGTGTTAGGTAAACGCACACACGCAGTCCAGCAGTGTGGCTGAGTGATGCGCACAATTCTTAGTTGTACGCACCTGCTGTATGTTTAATGGTTTGTTTCTCAGGCCATGACAAAATGTCCCCGAAACCCTGAATCAAAACGGCCACATCAAAGTGGCAGCATCAAAATGCCACGAACCCACATGTATTTATTGAGAGGATCCCTGTGACTTCCTCAGCTCCCTTGAAATTAACCAAATGCTCATAGGCTCAGAGGAGGTTCTGACATGGGCTCGTAGAGAATGATTTGCGACGTACATCAGGAACCCAGCTTGCATCTAGGAACACAAAGTCCCCTAAGAACTCTTGGTAGCAATTCTATACCAGCCTACATGATCACCACATCACCAGAACACGGGAGAGCCTGAAGTGGGGAATATTATAGAACACAGCATCAGATCATACTATACAACAGCACAGAGCTGTTTGTAAGACTTATACCTACATGGCATATGAATGCTGGTTACTGAATGCACATAATAACAGTGGCAGTAACAAGGATACCTGGTATTTACCAAGTATTTTATATGTCAAATGCTATCCTCAGGAGAGAGTAAGGTGTAATCCCTGCTCTTAAAGAGCTTGTCAAGGGAATCTGCTTTACACGTGGGCCGTGGTCAAGCTCTGCAGGGGGTGCTGGGGAAATGGGAAAAATGGTACCCAACGTAGCTTTGGGGAAGAACAGTGTTCAAGAACAGCTCCCAGGAGGGCTGACACCAGAGTTGTATCTTAAAGAATGGATCGAATTCAAAGGTCTATATCCGTCACCAGTCCGTGAACCCTGGGAGAGCAGGGCTGGATCTTTCACACCTGGTACCAAGGGCTTGATGACTATTTGCTCGAAGAAATTATAAATTGGAAAGCAACTACAAAGGGCAGGCACCTTCCTTTCTCCTGGGAATGAGGCCCTTTTATGGACAGAGTGGCAGCATATCGCTTCTGCAAGCCTCTTTCCGGTCTTGCGTTTACTCCACAGATTTCTACTGGACACATATGACAGGTCCCATGCTGTTCTGGATGCTAAAGATATCACAATAAACGAAGCAAGCAGAACCCTTGCTCTCATGCAGTGAACATTTTAGTGGAACAATAAATAAATGGACAAACATATTTCACGTGGAAATACGCGCTGGGAGGAAACTGACACGTGGGGAGGAGGCGTGCTGTATTTTGCATCAGGCGGCTAGGGAAGGCTTCTGTGATAAGGGGGCCTTAAAACCAAAACCTGCAGGGAATGAGGGCTCTCCTACATGAATCAGGCAATTTATCCAGAGCTTAGGAAATAAACGGAATGTACACCGTTTAGAAACCTGTATTTCCACACTGGAGCCCGAAGCTCCCACCAGATGCAACTCCGGGTGTCTACATGCTGGTTTCTTAGCACGGGCACTGATTCAAATGAATGTTGAACCAGTAACGCCGCGCTCTATTACCATCATGCATATGATGGGAGTTTCGGCTGTCCCAGCTCCCAGCAAGAGGAATGATACCAGGGAGAGGTGAGCTGGACACCAAAGGAAGGCTAAGGTCACAACAGCCTGCACATTTGCTTCCCTGGCAATGAACAGAAAGGGCAAGACCTGATACGGGCAAGCTCACCGGAGAAACACAGTAAGTTATTTCGAGTGTGTGCACTTTCCCCCTTATCATTCCTCCCTTCCTACAACCTGTGCCTGTGTACATAGAAAAGCAATAAGGAGTTTAGAAGCTCAGGTGTGCCTTGGTGAGATCAAGTCCATCCAGCCTGATGCTGGCCAACCCCGCTGACCACCTGTTTCCACTTGAGTGCCTTCTGGATGGAACATTTAGCAATGCAATTCCTTAACACTGGAAGTTCTACATGCCAATTCCGCTGGATCGCTCTCTATTGGCCCACAAAGGAAGGCCATGTGATGGGACATCTGTTTGGATAATTGAAAACTTCAAGAATGAGCCTATAATTTCCTTCAGCCATAACGTCTCCGCTGAATTAGTTAAACGGCTGTTAATTTCGCAGTCACTGCCCTGTCCCTTCTCACGCAAATCCGCGAGTACTGTTTCAGCTTTATCGCGCAAGACTTCCTCTGGGCTCGAAAGGGGACATGTAATGGGGCGGGCTGGTGCTGAGTTTTAAACTATTCTGAGAACCTGCTTTTCATTAGCATTCGATTTCCCTTGCTCTGTCAA